ATATTAAGATAATAAAGATTAACTTGTATTTTTACAATCATTAAAATACCGTTCGAGAAACTATTATCGTTAAGAAAGTAAACATTACACTGGGAATAAACTATATAGAATGTTTAATGGTAAAAAAGGAGGTGTTAGGTATATTAAGTGTGATGATGTAATACTTATTGGACACCATCTCAAAGAACCTAAATATATGTACCTTAAATCTGTATATCAAATAATCGCAAATAGTCCAGAACCGTATCATGAAGATATTACATTTCGGGCTATGAAGCCTGATAAAATCCCAAAACTAGATTCATTCTCTCCAGAAAGAGGTACAGTAGGTATATTTGAGGATCTATGTGCTGACCCAAAGAAAATTCAAGAAAAGATAATACCTTATTTTACCGAAGGACGCCATTATAATATCAGTTCAATATATGTTTCTCAGAGTTATTTTGACTGTCCAAAGATAATACGAAAAAATCTCACGCATATCTGCTTGTTTAATGGGTCATGTACCATGGATGAACTAGTCAGAATTGTGCGTCAATATGCTAATGACTGGCGTAGTGTGATTAAAATTATTGATAAGCATTTATGTGAGCAAAAATTCATCGTTTTCGATCTAACTGTACCTCGAGAACATCCACACAGAATACGAATTGGTTGGGATAAAATTCTTGAAAGTCCTAATGAATAGAGCGGGATTTCAGATATTCAAGGAATTTTTAATCTTTTGTACAAACTGTGTTTATATAAAGAACTAAATATGACTCACCCTCTTATTATTCCGGAGTTACTTGAAAATATATTTAGTTTCTTGGTTAAGGATAAAGCGCTCTATCCTGCTTTATTTGTCAATCGCCTTTGGTATCACTGTAGTGCTCCAATTCTATGGAGACATATTGAGTATTCCATAGAAGGTTATCGGCAGAACCGATGTAATAAAAATATATCTGGACCTCTTTATTGGCAATTAAGAAAGTTTAAAAGAGTTATATGTGAAAAGACAAAACCTCTCTATTGCTCAAAGGTGGTGTATCTCAAATTGGCGGGTTTAAAAATCTCGGATACATTACTTAGTGAAATTTTGTGCTCATGTCCGAATATAAACTTTCTTATTCTTGATCGAAGTTATGGTTTTAGTAATATACCAATTATAGAAATTGCAAAATATTGTCCGAAGCTACTACATCTGAGTCTTGATGCATGTACAGCTATTACTGATAGATATGTTAGTGAAATAACACAATCTTGTCCAAATTTAAAATACATAAGTCTCGCTTCTTTGTATAGAGATAGTAACATTTCCAGTGCAACTGTGATTGAAATAGCACGATCTTGTCCCAATCTAGTATATTTAAACCTCAATGGACAACCTTTTATTAATGATGAATCAATTTGTGCAATTGCACGCTCATGTGTAAATCTTCAACACCTGGATTTGTTGTTTAATGAAATAATTATGGATGAAGCTATATGTGCGATTGCAACTGGCTGTCCAGATATGCGAAATTATTTTCTCAAAGACTGTGGATGGATAACCGATAAATCAATCAAAAAAATTGCACAGTTAAATTGAAACCTGCAAAAGCTTATTCTTACTTCCTGTTACAAAATTACAGATAATGCTATATGCGATATAGTCCGTTCATGTTCAAACATTCAGAATCTTAGTTTTCAATATATTTATATCACTGATAAAACGATATATGAAATTACACATCACTGTTCCAATTTACTAGTTCTCAATGCAAAGAAATGCCTGTTTATTTCTGATGAATCAATCTACTTCCTATTAAGCAAAAAACCGGTGCTAGAGCTAATATTAGATTGGGTTCCGTGATCAACCCCTTGAAATTTCTAATAAGTACATGATTTCAGATATTTTAGGGATTTTTCCACCTCTTGCAATTCTATCCTCTTTTCTTCAACCTCATATCGCAATTTCTTATTTTCATTAACCCGCTTTTCATGCTCTAAAGTAATTTCTCGCATAAATTTACCAAAAGTTTCTTCATTATATTCAAGTAATCGTCGACATAAAATATCTAATTCTTTCTTAACACGACGATTGATTTCTTCCTCATGATTACAGGTGCAGATCGGATTAATATTCTGGGTTTGGGTTTCTTGATTAGTCATATCTATATATGTCTTGACACTAGCTTTGTTATTATATGATAAATTTTCAAGTAGTTCTATAGTTTGGATTTGTTTTTTACGTTTTCGATTTAATCCTTTTTCATATACCTCTAATGTATGATACAAATAAGCCTCAATTCGATTGCATTTTTCAGAAATTTGCTTTGAAGTAACGGGGGATCTAGAGTGATGTAAAAGCCTATGGTATGCCCTCTTGACTAGACTTTTTGGAAGCTTCGCTATAATGGGGTTGTAATCAGGATGAAACATTGAATATTAGTTTGCGCACAAAAAGTTTGCAGGCAAAAAAAAATGGTCTATATAATTCCATAATCGTTTTTGTAATTGATCTTTTTTATTTGTGTGTTATTACTCCGAAATTGGTAATCCATCATCAGATTTAAATGTGGTTGAGTCATGCTAGAGTTGAGCTAGAGTTGAGCTAGAGTCACGCTAGAATTTTTTCTATATAGTTATATGAAAAATGATACACTCATGCTTGAGTCGCGCTAGAGTCGTGCTAGAGTCGTGCTAAATTATAGTAAATCATTTCTAATCACTGCTAATTCTTATTTTAGAATTAATTGGAAAAAAGCAATATTCATTTGATTCATGGTCTTTGATCTTTCGCGATCTACCTTTTTCGAGTATACATTAGCAGAGCTAGCAAGGT